CTTGTAAAAAGCGGCCATTCAGTGCGCGCACACACTCGGCCGCGGATTCCGGCTGCTCGAAGCGGATCGTGCAGGCGCCCTTCGGGTGGAGCTGAGTCGATCGAGGCCCAGGGATACGGGGGGAGGGGCGGGATGTGGGCCGGCGGTTTCACGTGTCCGGTGCCGGAAGTGCGCGAGCGACGAGAAAGCCCAAGGTGAGTCTGGGTGGATCTGGCATGCACCACCTAATGAGGGGGGGAGGGGTATACTCTCACGGCAAGCCCGAGGGCCAGGGTCTGATGCGAAGGGAAACGCACATCGTAGATGGTGATCGAGGTGACAACACCGAAGGTCTCGCACTCCTCGAGAATGTCCTCCTTCAGGTCCACCAGGAGGCCGACGTCCTCCTGTGTGTGCAGCAGGCGTGCATGTGCGTCTGTGTCAGGCAGATTGCACGGGTACACAGGTCAGCATGTGGGAGCATGGGCACGGACCTCGATTTCCTGCTTGGTGAACATGTTCTCCAAATACACAAGCCGACAGTCGGCATTGGCCCGAGCCGCGGCATCGCGCTCTGAGTCCCAGTTCAGACGGCTGTCAGCCAGCCAGCCAGCCAGCCAGCGAGGGTGCCCGGCAGCATGGAGGGAAAGCGTACGTGGCAGATGTTAGCCCTTCCCATGGCTGGCTCTTGGCATGGAGAGAGAGAGAAAGGAAAAAAAAAGCAAAAAAAAGCAAAGAGGAATCGAGCAGCGCCCACGATGTGGTCCAGGCAGACCCAGGCACACACACACACGCACGCCGGGCTGCCAAGCATACGTACCCTTCCAAAAACTCGTACTTGGCCCGGGTCATCATGCGCCGCTTGAGCTCCTCACGCCGGGCCTTCTCCTGTTCCTTGGCCGACAGTTCGGGCGCATCGGCCCCGGCTGGCCGGGAGGCCTGCTGCCGCGAGCGCTTGGCCGCAGGCTCACGCGACTTGTCCCCCGACTGGGGGGAGAAGACCGCCCGGCGCACGCTCAGCGGGAAGTTCTGCCCCGGCGGGCGATCCGGCCGAAGGGGAAACCCATCGAGCATGTCGATGGCCAGCGGCACGGACTCCGGCCGGAAGTAGGCCACCGTTCCATCGCCCTTCAGCTGGCCGGCCTCATCGCGGTAGAAGCGCACCAGCGGCCGCGGCCCGCGCGACAGCTCCCAATACCGCGACGGGTCGCTCGGGTCCTGGGTGTCCTCCTCGTCGTCGGAGTCGTAAATCCCGCCGGTGGCCACACGCCGGATGTGGGCGGCGATTTCCTCCGCATCCACATCCAGAATCCCATACCGGGAGAAGGTGTCAGCCACCTCGACCAGCGACACATCTGGCGGCAGCCCGCTGACGTAGAGCACGCGCTCGCGCTTTTGCGCCGGCTGCTGGTCATTCGGCCGCGAGCGCTTTGCCTTGTCCGGTGGCGGGGCCGCCACTTCGGCCGGGCTGGGACCCGGGGCCGGGGCCTGGGGGGCGGCCAGGCCGCCCGGCGCCGCCGGCGCGACGAAAGCATCCTCCGCTGGGGCCATTGACGCCTGCACCGCGGCCAGGGCTGCCTCAGCGGCGGCACGCATCCGCGCATCCAGCTCCGAGTCCAGCTGGTGCTGGCCAAGCCAGTTGGCCGCGGCCGCCTCATCGTCGCCATCGCCAGGGCCATTGGGCCCGGAAGTGGCAGGCTCCTCGGAGGGAATGGCGCCGCCGGGCGCGTCCTCGGCGGCCGCACGTGCAAGACCAGCCACATTCGCAGCAGGGGCAGTCGCATCGACGGCGGCGACGGCGTCAGCCGATTCCGCATCGGTGGCGCCGGCGGCGGCCGCCTGGCGCTGCTGCTCGATCATGCGCTCGAGCTCGCGCGCCAACTCCGGGTCTTCATCTTCCTCCTCGTCGTCATCCTCGGCCTGGTCGCCTGGAGAACCGGGCTGCGGCCCGGCCGAAAGGACCGAGCCGCTGGGCTGCGGCCCGGCCGAAAGGACCGAGCTGCTGGCCTGTCCGACCAGGGCCGGCGGGACAATAAGCTGGCCGCCCGGCGCGGCATCCAATTGCGCAAAGAGATCCAACACAGCGCCGTCATCATTTGGCTGGGTGGCGCCAGGGGCCGCTGGCGTTCCGGAGTTCATCTCCAGTTCGCGGAGCAGGTCATCGAAGCCGTCGGCAGAGGGGTCCATCTGGCACGAGGAGGCAAGGGGAGAAGACCGGCAGCAAGGAGGAGGGCAGAAGCGGGAGGAAGGGGGAGATGGGCGCGTGTGCGTGTGCGCGCGTGTCCGAGGGGAGGCAAGATAACGAGAGAGAGAGAGAGAAAGAGAGAGAGAGAGAGAGAGAGAAAGAGAGAG